GTGTGCAGGCTCTAGTATTTTCTTAGTGAATTTTGTTGATACACAAAAAATATACCCCAGGTCTGTTCCTTTGGATGGAGGTAGTGACAAACAACACGCCGGCAACGCCTTTCTTGCAGCTGGGGTGGCCACACAAATCCACACCGCCCCCTTAGTGACTCTCTGGGCTGGGTCACTGCACAATGTCTTTCACTCTGTTCGTGGAGAATTCCAACCTGGGTGCTTATACATCAGTGACCTCTGATGTGCCAAGCGGTAGCACCTTTCAGCATAACAGTGCCACGGTGAGAGAGCCAGCCCCTGGAAGCAGGAAGCAAGCAGGAATCCCATAAGAGCCTGTTTTTCATGAGCCTTCCAGCCCCGTTCTGTAATCTCGCAAGGTTCAGAGAGTTTGGAGAAGGTTCAGAGAGGCATTTGAATGCCTGGGTCCTTATCTGAACTGAGCAGAGGCTCACACAGCTGCTGCAGGCTGAAAGAGACCTCTTGGCGAGACACCCCTCTATGAAAGGCTGCTGTTGTGGGCCAGCCTGATTTTGTGAGCCCAAACAGTGATCCCCTGTGCTGCTGTGGACTCAAGGGCATCTTCTGCAGCAGGCAGCAACACCACGGTTCTTTTAAAACCCTCTAATCCATCCCACTGGCCAAACAAATCCTGCCTCCCGCCTGCAGCCTTCCTGCCTCCAACCCATCTCATTTCATGGCTCTCCTTTTGCCAGCTAATGAATCCCTGAATCCATTGTGTGCGGTCATCCAAGAGGAATTCTGACAATCACTGCAGAACTTCCCTGAGGAAGCAATCGGTGCAGCCAGCTGTTAAAGCGACTGGGCTGTGGCCGCGTGGCAGTCTATGGATCTGGCCTATATATTGTCAACACCTCTCCCTTTCAAACACACAAGGGACGCTCTTTGGTTGGGAAGGTTAATACTCCACAATTCCTAGTCTCTGGTACACACTCGGTCTCTACGTCCAGAGGGAGGCACTCAGAGTCAGGGTCTGCTCCTTACACAGCTCTACTTCCTTTGTGGGGACTGGCCACCTGCTCCAGCAGAGAATCTATGGGAGGTCTAGCTCCTGGGTCAGGCCATCCTCTGTTCTCTGGGGCATTCCGTGGTTATGTCAGCTCTGCATGGCTGAGGACTCAGTGAGCAGAGAAGGGCTGGGACTCTTTGGTACTGTGGTGGGAGGGCGATCTTTTGCCTTTACAGTAGCAGGATCCGGCTAGTCCAGAGGAAACGCAGGAAATAGAACATGCCAAATCCTGAATCCATTGAAGTCGATGGCAAAGCTCCAGTTGACCTCAGCGGGACCAGGATTTGGCTAACGGCATGTAATTTCTACAAACGCCATGTGCTATGCAGTTTATCAAACATATGTGCTCTCTCACTCTACACGCCGATTTGACTTTCACACTCTTGGTAGAAATGTGGGTTTGTTACATTTACTGACAGCACAGCAGCTGTGTGTATATATAACCTCATTTAGAGGGCCACATGTATTCTCACCCCCATGCTTGTAATATTTATACCCACACATGCAAACACACTGTCACACACACGCACATACTGTAGAACCAGATGTATTTAAAATACTATCAAGTTGGCGAGTGGAGGTCATGCCATTTAAACCTGATAGTAGGGCAGAGCTAGTTCATGAAAGTCGTTCAGGAGTAACTTTTCAAAGTTTTTGCACTTGTTTGTCTGCAAAATTACACTTACATATCTGTGCCCCTGCTTTGCAGATGTAAACACCCGTGCAAGCCCTTTAAACACTTGACACTTTAGAGTCCAATGGGTTTTGCAGGTACAACCTCAAACATTTGGGACCATGCAGTTGTTAGATCAGTGGCTCTCAACCTTTGCAGACTACTGTACCCCTTTGGAGGAGTCTGATTTGTCTGGCGTACCCCACGTTTCATCTCACTTAAAAACAGCTTGCTTACAAAATCAGACATAAAAATACTAAAGCACACTATTACTGAAAAGTTGCTGATTTTCTCATGTTTACCATATAATTATAAAATAAATTGATTGGAATATAAATATTGTACTTACATTTCAGCATATAGCCTATAGAGCAGTATAAGCAAGTCATAATCTGTATGAAATTTTAGTTTGTACTGACTTTCCTAGTGCTTTTTTATGTAGCCTGTTGTAAAACTAGGGAAATATCTAGATGAGTTGATGTACCCCCTGGAAGACCTCTGCATACCCCCAGCGGTACATGTACCGCTGGTTGAGAACTGCTGTGTTAGATTATTTAAAGGGTGCTGGCGTGTAGGACTTTGTAGCAGGCATTTGCACTTGAAAATGCAGCCTCAAGTATGTATGTGTGCACATTTCTGTGTACACACACACACACACACACATACATACATACACACACACGGAGGCTGGGTAGAAACCTAGTTGAAAATTAATTTACCTCTGAACCAAATTTTCAACCCCATCCCTGGAATCTGCAATCCACTTTTACAGAGGGATGTTACTGGATCAGAACACATGCCCATCAGTGCATGCCAAACTCATACTACACCCAGACAGATCAGCTGGGCACCCAACTGCCTGATTCACATGCTCTGCGGGGTGTGTCATGTGCATTACGCAGGCATGTTTCTCTTTTGCAGATGAATTCAGTTTCACATTCAAGCGTGGGCATGCAAAATCCAAGGTCAAAACTTGAAGCTTGCTGAAACTTTGGACCCTAATAGCAAAATGTGGCATATATTTCAACCTGGGCCAAATCCAGATATCACATAAATAGTGCAACACTACTTAATTCAATGGAGTTGTGTCTACTTACATCAGGTCTGACTTTCACTCAATATATTTTAAGGTCTACATTTTTAAAGAGAGGTCTCCAAAGCTGCAGACCCAAATTTTGGGTCAGCACTGTATTCAGAGCACATTGTGGCTACGAGATGCCTGCCTTCTTGGCAGACATGGAGGACTGAACTAAAAAGCCAGGTTCTGTAACTTGGAGCAGTATAGGCTCATACTTTGAGCTCTGAAGGTCACTGGTTCAATCCCTGATGTTTACCAACACATAAGCAGTTGCTCATCTGGAATCTGAACTGCTGTGGGTCTCCGTTGCTGGAAAGGACTGGCCAGCATGTTCCACATCCCCCGTTCACAGATGATGTGAGTCTGTTACAGACTCCACTTTATTTGATAGCCAGTACTAGGGACCTCCAAAGGTAAAAGCATAAGTTTCTCCAGCTTGAACTAAAGAGATGGGGACTGTAACAGGCTCACATCCAGTCTGGACAGAGGAGAATGCCTAACACACAGAAAGGGTGAAGAGTCTCCACGGGAGACGCTCTGGGGTTACGGCTCCGTACCAGGGCCAGGACTATTTAAAGACTGAGTCCAGGGAGGGCTACAAAGATACCAATGGAGGGGTCCTGGGATAGGTCCCCATTGGACTGTATACCCTAGAAGGGGTCTGGTTTGTTTCACATACAGACTGTGTGTGTGTGACTCGGCCAGAGGGCTGAGTTACTGAAAACCCACCTGAGAAACCACGGACAGAGGTCACCGCAGGCTGAGAGAGGTGCAGACACACACCTGCCCAGGAGTCTCACGAGAGGTGGATGCCACCCCGTTACAGTGCCAGCAGAAGTAGATTATGTACCCATAGTTTGCACTGAAGAGTGGGTAGATCTAAATATACATGAATCCCTAATGTAATGCTCAGTGCTTAATTAATGTCAGGGCTTGCCAGGCCTGAGCCCTGGCACCTCTAACCTTGGCAGTTCATAGCCCTGGCACCTCTGGGCTTGCTGCATCCATTCTGAATGTAAAAAACTTGCATTAGCCCCTGCACCCTAATTGCTTGAACCCTGGCACCTCATTCATTACAAATTGAACACTGGTAATGCTTCTCCATTTCTAACCTTTTGTACAGACAATGTCGCATCCAGTGTCTGCCTGATAGAAAGTTTTAATTTGCAATTGCCTCTACATGCAGGACTAGCCTTTGAAATATTCTAGAAATGAGCTTTTTAATTCAGTGACACTTATGCACAGGTCAGTATTCGTGTTAGCGATGATGATACACAACTTCATATTGTGAATATACAAAAGCTACGAGAGAAAGAAAAGTGGCCTAACAAGAAGTAGTGAAGGCATAGTCCACAAACAAGTCCTCACCTCTGCACTGAAGGGGGAGGAAGAGCATCTTATAGCTTTTAGCAACCATGTCATCAACCATATGACAAACCTATTCAACACTCAATCACATCCAGACATGCTTATCAACAAACCTATTGGCCTGTTTGTAACATCAGATTCACAGGAGTCTCTGCTGAAAATAACAGATGTTGGTGAAGAACAAATGGAGAGATTAGTGAGGTGTGCACTTGATTCTGATGGGACGTGTAGTTTCTTACAGCCCAGTCAAGAAATCTGGCATCGAAACATTTGCTGATATGGCCAAGAAGATCAACCTTAAGTCTGGCAAGGGAGGGACAATCACAGCAGCTATCAGTCCAGAAATTGTTTTCTGGAGAGTCCTGTCCTTAGCAAGATGCAGAGATGATGTTTCAATGGCAACTGTTCTTAATCATTGTGACATTCCCTAGGGTACAATCTGGACTGTTGAACAGCAGTGTCCCCTTAACTCTCCAGCTTGGGGTGCCTTTCGCACAGCTTCGCTGTCAGAACAGCCACTCTTGGCCTCACACAGCCCTCAGCATGCAAATTCCATCCCAGCCAAATACATGAGCACTCTGACCAGTCGTTCATGAATTACATACAGGGCAACACCCTCAAGTTCTCTAGTCCCAGCCTTGTTCCCCCAGAGATTTGTTTTGGACTGCTCAGTACCCTTCTGGACAGTACAAGCTCATAGGAAATCCATCATTTCACCAAAGGAAAAGGATATATGTACCAGCCTTGTTATCCCAAATGGAATTTCCCACACATTCTAATCCAAACACACTGGTTAAGATAAAACAATAAGATACATTTATTAACTAAAGAAATGTAGATTTTAAGTGATTACAAGTGGTGATGCCTGTGACCACTCCCCTTTAGTTCAGTTTTGAGAGCCGTTGATGTCATGATCAGAGAGAGGGGAGAAGGAGAGTTGAAGTGAAGTGTTTTCCTCCCACGTTATAATTCAATTTCTTGTGCTAGAAACATCCTTGCTGAGTCATGGTGACACACAGTCTGTTGTGGACCTGAGGTTTGAATCATCCCTGTGATGAAATGTACATTTCTTGTTTACACCTTCTCCCCCACTGGAGGATGGCTGCTGAAGTTGGCGACGGCCCTTTAACACCTGTCTGGGGTGCTCGTGTGTCTTTGTCTCTGAAAAACTGGTTTGTGGGTGTTACCCAGAATTACAAAATATTTAAGTAACAATCATACAGTAGAATCTTATAACTTCACATATAGTGTTGCTACTCATATTTTAACAGGATAATGATATTCAGCATTATGACTTTTCAGATGCTACCTCACAGAGAATTCTTTGTACAAAATGTATCATAGTCTTGTAAAAACGGTGACGATGATAGTGTAGACTGGCACAGTCACCCAATAGCACCTGTGCCTATGTCCCTCTTCCATGCTGATGGAATAATGAGAACAGGCAACGCTGAAGTAGAGCATTAGCTGGAAGCTCAAGCTAAATGAATCCATGTACTAAAAGCACGCAACAAAGAAATCACAGTGTACATCGGAGATGCCATGGCTGTCATGCAAATGATGTCTGGAGACAAGTTCCACACGTCTGATGAATTGACTGCTGAGTACTTGAAGCAGGTCCTAAAAGGATTTGACAAAGCTAATTCTGTAATCAAAATCTTTGATAGACATGGCAATTGTAACCCTGTGACAACTGCAGAAAAGACAGAGCCGGACAAGATCTATGGTTGGATGCAAGAAATACCAGATGATTGGTGGGTCCCCTGTGCCTCCATGAGAAAAGTTTCTAAACGTGGCACGCAACAGGCAGACACGTCTCAAATTCCTCTGTGAAGAGATGGCTCAAAATGCACCTGACAATGTAGAAACGCACACAACCCAAACACTCCTTGCTGGAGGCTTTTCCAGTGGTGAAGTAGCAGAGGTTTTGAAGAAGCCAAGGCAATGAAGACTCTGGTAACCCACACACTTTTGACAGAGATCAGAATGATGAACAAGATGATGATAATGATGTTAACTAGAATTGTCACCAGCTCTACACCATTTCAATTATATCGGCGCACATTTATTACTAGAGTCTGTTTTACTCTGATTGCTGTTGTGATGCTTTGAGGCCACAAAGAAATCCAATTTTAGGTCTTGAAATAATAAATTGAGTCATTAAACTACCAGAAGTGAATGCAAACATGGCAAGGTGGTCATTTTAACATGCTGATGGTATCATTGTTTATCCCCATTTCCATGGTAGCTGCACCACTTGACAGTTGCACACCATAGCTCATCTTAAAGTAAATATAATAAGCTTTCAAATGATGTATGATGTGCATGTGTGTAGACAGGCTACAAATCGGTGTGTCAGCTGCTCATCTCTATCACAGGCTAAGGAGCAGGTAGAGTGAATTTTGTTTAGCCATCTAGGTAGCATGCACATGAGGTGAGGTCAAACAGCTGCACTGAGCCCCTTTGGAGAGACCTTTAGAGGGGAACCACATGGTGGTTTTTGCTGCCAGCCAGTTCCCTGCAGCTGGAGAGAGCAAATAAAAATGTGCATATGTACATTACACATGCAGATTAGTCCCTCACAGGCTGTCCCTGAAACACCCTCCAAAGGGAGTGAGGGGGAGAATGCAAAGGAGCAGAGTACAGGGCAAGCATGTGACTGCACAGTTCTCTGTCTCTAGTTCACACACACACTTAAAGAATACAGACCTACCGCAGATTAGCTCTTTCTAAGGCTCTGAGAAAAGAGGAAAAACGTTGGTCTCTGGCCTTCCCCAGCTGAGGGCGGGAACTTATAAATTTGCCCCCAGCCCCTGCAGGTTGCCTCAGGAGCTCTCGCTGAATTCAACAAACAGGAGAAACTTCTAGAGCCGGATTCATAACTGCATTGCTTCGGCTTTACTCCGCTCTGCACTGAATTCAATGGCTTTACCCTGGCTTAGGACTGGAGCAGCACAATGGTGACCAGGGCCCCCAGTATACTCATGGCTGCGTTGCATACGGGGATTGAGTCTGCTCTTGCACAGCATAGGTGTAAATCAGGAGTAACTCCCCTGAAGACAAGGGAGTTAAACCGGTGTAACATTTGTGGGGGGGGATCAGATTCAGGCGGCTCCAGAGTCTCCAAATAATCAGAGAGCCACATATGGAGCATGTGAAACACACAACTCAGAGGCTTTGGAACAAACAGAAAAATGATGTGAACGCCCATCTATATTCCCCTTTCCTCTCCTCCCTTGGAGCACTGGATCTTGCCCCAGATGTGTTGTTCTGCTAGGCATTTGCTCTTCTGGCTCCTAGGTAAATTAGTCAGTAATCCTCACAACCACACACCTAGTTGACTCCCTGCCCTCTCTTCCTCCCGCCACTCAAGCCCCCACCCCCGCAGCTCAGCATCTGCTGCTCTGTATTTGCGAGCTACGCCCCATTTCTCTCCAGGATTTCCTTTCCTTGACTCTGGGTTCTGCCAGCTGCGAGCTCTTCTGACAGATGTTCTGCTCACGGACACTGAATCATTTTTACATAGCAGCAGCCTCACTAAATTTTTCAAGCCTTATGCAGAGCTCTTAGCACTCCAAGTCATAGGGAGTAGCGCAACCGGATCCCTGCATGACCACAGGCAACTCCAGGGCCCTGATTCTGGAACCCTAGAGGTCCTGACCGCAAGGGGGCACAAAAACCTGTTGTATATGAGTGAAGCTTTCTTTTAAAATAACTTTGATTCTAGTCTGTTGCGCTGTAAAGAAAACTTTCCCCAGCATAACTAGCAGTGCTAATGAGGTTTACAGAATACATGGCTTCGAGGAATCTGAGCGAGTCATAAGGACATATACCTTCAGCTTTCTGATATATTTTTAAATGTGCCGTTAGCCAGTTTATGGAATGTAAATACTTTCAGCTTTTAACCATATATGAAAATGAATGGAAAGAAAACAGATGATTAAGCATTACAGAACCACGTAGATGGGGAGGTTGGAAGAAAACTGTCAATGGATTCTGGGAGGGAACACAAAGCATTCTGGGATAAAAAATGGTGGTGGTATCTAGAGGTCATGGAGGGGCAAAAAAATGAGTTTTGGGGTCCTGGTTCTCAGCCCCCTCCCGGTTTATAATGTTCCCACTGTCGTGCCAGCACAGGTAGTGGAACAAGTGAACTAGGATTCAAACTCATGCTGCAGCTGGACATGATCAGACAACCCTCCCTGTTTGAATCTGTACATCTGCAGTCTCCGCTTCAATAGTGCTTCAACGCATTAGTCTATGTAGGTCATTACACCACTCTCATCACTGTAGTATCTGAACAGCGTTGTTTTCTCTCCCAGGGGAGAGAATTGTGTGTGCCGTGTAGTGTTTGGTTTGGAGAGCTGTTTTTTTTAAAACGTCCATGCTGCTCTGTGTTTACGTTAGAGAAAGCAGGTGGGAGAAGTGCACCTCACATTTGAAAGCAGAGGGTGATGAGATTTAGGATGGGCCTCAGTTTCCTGGAGTGTGCGTTCCACACATCTGAGACTGGCCTCCGAGATAGCTGGCTCCTGCGCAGATGAACTGATCCGACTGTTAGAAATATAAAGTTCAAGCTTTAGTTAAAAATAAATAAATCCATTTAAGATCCCAAATCTGACCTGGAATTTATGTGCAGACTTAAAACTAGCAAATTACATTTATATTTTAAAGCGAAGTCTTTGGAAATCTGTCTGTCATTCATTTACCTGACAAATCCTGAAGTCCAGGGCTCTGCATTTCCCCAGCAAGAACTAATGCCTTTCCATGTTGCTTGGGCCTGCAGAATTTTCCCTTCCAGTAACCCCTTCCCTCCTGAGGAAAACCAACAACATTTATTTCACATTGCATTTTTCCTTGCATATTTTATTTTTATTGCACTGAAGATAAATAAAGACAAAAATAGTTTCATAGGAACTAGAGAGTAGCCAGTGTTCTATCAGATAACAGAAGCAAGTTATGTTCCATTACCAGATACTCAAGGAACGTGAAATCCTTCATCCTTCGTTTCTTTTTCACAAATTAAATGTTCTAAACAATGAACTCTCCCGCCCATCCATCTAATCTCTATTTACACATCTAAATACCAAATACTAATAATAACCTAATTCACAGGAACAGAATTTAGGTATCTCCAGAGCCTGAAATAGCAGGTGACTTACGACTTGGTAAAGTCCCAGAACATTGCTTTCTTCTGTGCTGTTGATCCAGTCTGTTGTTTTCAGTAGGTCGAGGTAGGTTCAGATTTCCCCTGCCATGCATGTTATATGGGCTTTGTTGGTACAATCAATGGATTTAGAACTGTGCTGTCCAAAGACTTTGGACTTGATTCACCACTGCACTATGTCAGTTTTACTCTAGTGTTACAGAACTCTGTTGTAATATAGTCTGAACCCATTGTGTTCTGCATTCCAAAGTAGGTATCAGAGAGTTCACCCTATTGGTCAATTCCCAGAATGGCAAATAAAGGGCTAAATAAGCAGTGGCTTGCCAACTTGGCACAAGTGAACTAGTGCAGTGGTTTTCAAACTGCGGGTCGTGGAATGGAAGGCACTGGGTCGCGGCAGATCTGGTCAGCAATGCTGACAGGGTCATTAAAAGTCGGGTCGGTGGTGCTGACCAGCTAAGGCAGGCTAGTCCCTACCTGTTCTGACACCGCGCTGCACCCGAGTCAGAACAGCAGCAGGTCTGGCTCCTAGGCAGGGTGGCCATGGGGCTCCATGCACTGCCCCTGCCCCAAGCACCGGCTCCACACTCCCATTGGCTGGTTGCCAGCCAATGGGAGCCGGGGGCGGGGGGCGTAGCCTGCGAGCGAGAGCCGTGCGGAGCCGCTTCCGCACCTCCGCCTAGGAGCCAGATTTGCTGCTGGCCGCTTCTGGGGCAAGCATGGTCCACAGTGCCAGGACAGGCAGGAAGCCTGCCTTAGCTCCCCCGTTGCACCACTGACTGGGAGCTGCCTGAGGTAAGCCCATGCCCCAACCCTGTGCCCCAATCCCCTGCCCCAGCTCTGAGCCCCCCCCCCGAACCTGGAGCCATTTCCTGCCCCCATACCCCTCATCCCCAGCCCCACCCCAGAGCCTGCACCCCCAGTCCAGAGGCCTGACCCCCTCCTGCACCCCAGCCCAGAGCCCTTACCCCCTCCCACACCCCAACCCCCTGCCCCAGCTGAGAGCCCCCTCCCACACCCTGAACCCCTCATTCCCAGCCCCACCCCGTAGCCCTAACCCCCGCACCCCAACCCTCTGCCCCAGCCCTGAGTCCCTCCCATACCCCAAACCCCTCATCCCCAGCTCCGTTGGGTCACGAGCATCAACAATTTTCTTCAACTGGGTCACCAGAAAAAAAGTTTGAAAACCACTGAACTAGTGGATCGATGCCCCAGTTCATCATATGTAAGGGGCTGAAGAATGTGTGAGGGAGGGTAATGGATAATCACGTTTAGAGCATCTGAAATGTAGATCTCGATTCATTTCGTTCAAAACTGGAGGAAAATAGCAATGTCAATACAGCACAGATTACTGCTTTTGCATGTAAGTGTTGCAAATAGAAGCTTCAAAGGGGTGCTAAAGGGCCATTGATTACCTTAAGAAGATTCCAAATATCTCGAGTCCAAGTTAAAGAAGTATACACTGTCGTGTCAAGTGTTTCTCAGTGAAGAAGTTATGCAGGAGAGATGGGAGTGTATCTGGTTTAAGCCATCATCTGCATTTTTCTAATAATCAACTTTTCCCCTTTTGTGGTGTTCACCCATTAGTAACCCTGTCTAGGAAGTGTCTAACTTGCCAGCACTTATAGAAAACATGAGAAAGTGGATTAAATTTTAATCTGAGTTGTTAAAAGTTCACTAGCTTTATGCCCTAGAAAGAATCTCCAATGGTCATCTGTCCTTTGACAGCTCATCTTTTAAAGGCAGCATCTGCCTGTCCTGGAGGGATACTTGATAGCCTACATATCTGGGAAGGCAATGGGAGTTCTGGCACTAAACCAACACGCTCTCCTTTCTCCAGTATTTCTTTTACCATGTCTAATACCCACTTCAAAGAGTTTGTCCTCACTCTGCGCCTGTAAGGTCATTATCCCCAAGTTACAGAGGGGGAACTGAGACACAGAGAGATTAAGTAACTTGCCTAAGATCCCACAGGAAGCCTGTGGCAGAATCAGAAAATAAACACAGGCCTCCTGAGTGCAGTTCTGTGCCTTCACCACAGCACTATCCCTCCTTTGATGCTTCTAGTCTTTAATCTTTCTCTGCCATCGCTTTCATTGTGATTTTAACCCTCAACTAGTTTCTCTCTTTTGTTTTGTTGCTTTTCTCTTTATTTGCCCCATTGCCAACAGTTAATGTTGAAGGAGGTGGGAGCTGGAGCAACAGTGAGTGCTGTCAGTGGGAGATCCCAAAGCATTGTCCCTGGCCTGTCAAATGTGTGCAAGAAATCGCACAACCAGGAACTGCCATGAGACTTGATGTTTCCAAGGAAGGGAACAGGCAACCAGCGGCCCCTCTCCGTGCACTTTTGGTGGTGTTACTCCACTATTAGCACCTATCGTGAATACACATGGACAGAGAGCAGTTTGTGTTTGCAGTGACCTCTGAGAAGGGCAGCCTGTAAATATCAGTGATTATTTCCTTCTTGGGCCAGCTCTTTGGAGGTGTAGAAAGAGACTCAGTCAGCTCATCACGCACTGGAGGGAGGCAGTGTTTTCATGCAGAAAATCTTGGCAGTCAGCATTCCACTGATGATCCTTCTCCCAGCATCAAACAAACAACCCATCCAAGCGAGTGACAGTTACGAACAGGCTGTCTCCAGACCCGGCCCACATCTGACTTGGCATCTAAGCCAATGTGCAGCGTCACTTTGGTGTGTTAGCCAACAACACCTACCCTACTTTGCCTTCTTGTGTAGCTAACAACCAATGAAAAGCAACCTATTCCCATGTATGGGTCTAAGGCCTGATAAAAGCACATGCAGATACAAACCTAGGAGAGCATTATCACCAGGGACAGGCACAGTGATAGAACTTTATGTACAACCCCCCTGAATCTTTGAACTGAATCAAACCTGGAATTCCAAAGAATTTGGTTCATTATTTTTGTTTATTTAAATAGCATTTTTGACACTGCTTCTGGTGGAGGTGCTGAAATACCATGAAAGAAGTTGCATCTTCACTGAGCTGTTTCTTACCATCTCCCACCATTGCATTACTGCCAAAGCAGTTCTACTAGTGCTGGAAATGTGGGGGAAATGCAGGAGGCTATTTAGTTAACCTAATTGACCAGGACTTCTGTTTTCCACCTTTAGCTCCACAACACCCTCTAGCACCAAATCAGTGCTACCACAGGGCCTCATTGGGATACCCTTACTCAGGCTCAAATGCACTTTATGCTATGAGTAATCCCATTGAAGTCAGGTGCTATTCACTATGCGTAAGGTTACCGCAATCTGGCCTTCAGAGAGGAGAGTGCCCCCGATAGAGTCATAAGGACCACTTCCTGTTGCACCTCCGGATTCCTTGGCAATCTCTTATAGACAAGCCAATCCAGACTGGCCCTGCTTAGCAGGTAAGCACTGAAGGGACCCTAGCACAAAGTGGCAGGGCTGCTGGCACCAAACGAAAAAACACAACCGGCTATGAGATAGGGTAGAAAACACATTAAAGGAAAGACAACGTATGCAGTAGGACGGTTTGTCCTTGACCGAAGGAGATATCAAAGACAGCTCCAGTGATTTACTCTTTGACAGGCTGGCATTTCTGTGATTCATGGAGCTAATCAATTAGGAGACACATTCCCACTCACCTCAACCCCTTTACTTTTAACTGCTTCTTGCTGGGAGCTCTGCAGAACTGCATGGCACGGTGTCGAAACCATGCTGTGAAAGCCACCAAAATCGATGGAAATGGTGATAGATATGGACACTGCTCTGGGGCAAAGGGCAACACAATTGCCCAGGCTCCCTTCCCCTCTTCTCTCTCTCACAACACAAACACACACAGACGGAACTCCCACACACTCATACACATACTCCTTGTACATATACATGCAAACACACATGCACACACTTTCATTTGCATGCACACACTCCGCTAACACGTATACCCACACATACTCCCATCATGTCAAAGGCACACACACTCACCCTCTCATTCACATACATACCCCTCAGGCATGCACACCCACACATGCACGCACACACTCTTGTGCAAAAGCCACACCCCTCACACACACATACACTCTCATGCCCACACACACAGCCCTCAGTCATGCACTACCCACCCCAATTTGATACACACACACTCCCCCATCTCTGCATACACACACAAAAACACTCACCCCTCATACATTCACACACCCCTCAGGCATACAGACCCAGGCACCTTTCCTTGCTGGCAAAGGTGTTCTGCTGACTGCTAATCACAAGCAATTCAGTAATGAACAGCCCTCTCTCTCATTATCTGGACCCTCTACAGCCTTCCAGGGTTGGACACAAAAGGCTGAGCATACGCTTCATGTTGTGCAAAGAACTTGGAGCTGTTTAATTTTAACTCCCACATATCGATGAGTAAAATGAAAACACATGATAAAGCCGGAGGTTCTCGGGAACAGGGTCCATGAGCCATGCATTCCCTTCACTCGTATGGTAACATCATGATGGCCATTCCCCTTCAGGACCATTTAGCATGTAACGGCTGAGCAATTACTAGTGAGGGGTGCATCCTGCATGGTTCGGAAGCTGGGAAATGCACCGTGACGCGATTCTGGGATTGGCAGCCACAACTGGCCAAAAGCTCTGGAAAGTAGCTTGTTTCATGTTGGCTCCCTCCTTGACAAGCCCTGAGAAGCTAATATACTGGGGTAAGGAGAGCAAAGGAGGCGTGAGGGGCTCTAGGAATAAAATATCCCAGGAAATAGACCTAGGGATGGACATTTATCATCATCCCAGGACTAAAATCTTCTGTGGAACACCTGTGGCAGCTGAGTGATCCCCTGTCACAGCCAGACTTGGGGCCGAGCCAGTTTGCTGCTGGATGTCGTACCAGAATTTCCTGGTGGCCCCATTTCTGCTGCATTTTAACGTTTACTGAATATAATGTCAGCAAGACCCAGATCCACAAAGGTATTTAGGCTCCTAATTTCTATTGATATCAATGGAAGTTAAGAGCCTAAATACCTTTGTGGATTTGGGCCTAAGTTTCTAGCCTTGGTGGGTGCAGAAATTATCACTCTGGTGCTCTGTAACTGAATTCAAGATGGCCTAACCAGCGGGCCTGATTCTGAGCTCACACTGGTGCACATCAGAAGAAACTCCATTGACATTAATCGAGCTGCTTTGGGGTAAAGCCACTGCGAGGCCGGAATGGGGCTCAGTAGCTCTAAAGAGAGTAGTGGACTTTTTCCTATTGTCTAACAA